GCGAGAATACTGGAGCGGGTTGCCATTTCCTCCTCCAGGGAATCTTCCTGACCCAGAGATCAAACCCGTGTCTCTTATGTCTCCTGCACTGGCTGGCGAGTTGTTTACCACTAGCGCCACCTGGGAAGCCCATATAGCCAGACTTTATAAAAAGTTGCCAATGTCTTCCCGTGGTTTCCTTTTCATGCACTCATTTAACAGATAATTGTTGCGTGGCCTCTCTGTGGTGAGGCTGAATTAAAGAGAGATGAAACAATTAAAAATTCTAATATGTAGCCTTTGCCCTAAATAATAATCATCAATTTAATCATAGGAGCAGTGATCATATGCCAGTCATTTACTTTATTGTACAAGGCCCCTGGTTAAAATGAGACATTTATTCTTTTTCATCTTTACCCAGGGAGTTGCAAAGAGTCAGATGCGACTGAGCAACTAACAACTTTCATCTTTACAGCCTAATGAGTTGGATATTATAATTATTCCAATGTCATGGGAAATTAAAACTCAGAAAACTTACTGTTTGACCCAAGATTATATGTGGTACTTTATCAAGGAGACTAGTTTCAAGTGCTTGCTATCAGATGCCAAAACCCCTGCTGTTAACCTTTAGGCTGTTTGGTGAGATAAGATGTGCACTTTTTTTAAATGTTAAATAAGAACCCAAATGCTATCACTATCAAAGGTTTTAATTGCACCTTATGCAGGGCTTGGCAAGCAGTAGGTACTTAATTATTGTTTGCAGAAGGCAGGCTGGCAGCCAGGAAGGGTGCACAGGCCAGGTGCATGGTAAATATAGCAGGTGCTAGGAGAAATCACATTAGGTTGTAATGGCTGGATTTGTAGTGCTGGGGAAAGCGCAGGAGGAGACAAGAATATAGAGGCTGAGAGAGACCAAAGGTGAATGCAGAGTGTGTCCCTCCTCTGGCGGGAGTGAGGCCAGTTTGACCAAAGGGAGCAATTGTGTGCAGATGAATAACTGGAGATAAGTTCCAGAAAGCATGTTGGATTCCTGTCATTAAAGAGATAAGCCTTTTGGACTCTATTTTATGGACAGTTAGAAGGCACTAAAGGGGAAATCCCATGGACAGAAGAGCCTGGCAGGCAACAGTCCCTGGGGTCGCAAAGAGTCAAACACCACTTAGCAACTGAACAACAACAACTAAAGGCCTTTGGGCCTGTTTGTGAAGCTGTTGCAATATACACACTTGATGTTGTTTAGTCACTAAATCATATCCGACTCTTTTGTGACCCTGTGGCCTGCAGCCCACCAGGCTCCTCTGTCCATGGGATTTCCCAGGCAAGACTACAGGAGTGGGTTGCCATTTCCTTCTCCAGGAGATCTTTCCAACCCATGGATCGAATGCACATCTCCTCCTTGGCAGGTGGAGTCTTTACCTCTGAGCCACAGGGAGGGCTTTGTAAAATGGCTGTTTGTAAAATAGCTGGTGGGATGCTGCCGTGTAGCGCGGGGAGCTGAGCTCAGTGCTCTGAGATGACTTCAGGGCGGGCAGGAGGGAGGGGATGCAGGTGTATTACACACACGGCTGGTTCACTCTGTCGAACAGCAGAAGCTAACACAACATTGTAAGGCAGTTATACTCCAGTTTAAAAAAAAAGGGGGGGTGGGGAATTAATAAGTAACGCAACCGTTAGCACAACAGGATTGAGAGTGGATGGCAGATGGAGGTGAGATCTCCCCTCGGAGCAGTCAGGCCTGCAGTCAAAGGCCTGCAGACATCTCCACGTTGGGAGGGACCCTGTCAGAGCTCTGACACCATCTTTTTTTTTTTTTTGGCTGTGTTGTGTGTTCTGTGGGGTCTTAGTTCCCCGACCAGGGATCGAACCCATGCCCCCTGCCTTGGGAGTGCGGAGTCTCAACCACTGGACCATCAAGGAAGTTCCCCGCCACCGTCTTGAAAAGCCCCAGAGCTGTAAGGAGAGCACCCTGGAGTCGTAGCTGGTTTCCTCTGTAGAACATCGTGTCTCTGTCTGTGCCTCAGCAGAGAGAAAGTGTGAGAGAATGGGAATCGGAATAAGGAGGTTTTAGCTAGGAGAGATGGTAGGGAAATGTGCAAAGTTTGGGCTTCCAGAACAGTGTGAAGGCACAGACTCGGGGAGAGCGGCCAGGAGGGGGTCAGAGGCAGCCACGGAGAGGTCGGATAGGGCGTGGGGCAGGGCTTTGCCAAGAGCACGGGAGCTTTTCTCAGCTGAGTGGTGCGGGTGGGGGAGTAGAAGGAGCCCAGACCCAGCGCCCGAAGCCTAACTAGAAGCCCCGCTCGCCACATTCACAAGCAACGTGCCCTTGGTAAGTCACCCGGCGTTTCTAAGATAACTGCTGTGGAAACATCCAGTGCAGTGCCTGGCATGGGGCTGATACTGAGCAAATATGTACAGAACGTGAAGGTCCAGGAGTTTAGTTTGCTCAGCTGGGAATCGGAGATAATCATCAGAGACCTGCCTCCCTAACAGGTGTGAGGAGAACCAGGTGAGACGTGAGACAGGGTCGGGGGAAGGGCCTTGCCCTCGAGGAAGAGACCAATCTCAGGGAGACAGCATGATAGTCACGGGTCGGCTGCCCTCTCGAGAGCCCCCTTTCCAGAAATGGAGGGGTGTTTTAAAAATCTATACACCAGTTTCTATTAAAAGGCCCTTTGTGCTCTCACCCCTGGAGAAAGAGAGAGAAGATTCCACAGAGCTTGTGGGTGCTGGATCTTAAACCCTTCCTGGCAGGACCGAGTCTTCATCTCTCTATCTGCAGGGCCCAGCACTGTGCCTGCATGAAGTAAAGTGACCCCTATGGTGCCCATTCACATCTCAGAGCTGGTCTTACGTCCTGACCCAAAGCTGGTTCCAGGGGATGGCTGGGTGGCCCCATAAACTCCACTCATTTGGAGATGGAGGGAACCAGTGCTGGGGAGCAGCTTGGGGTGACCCATAAATAAGTTCACTGTCACCCTGAGGGGTTTCCCTTGGCCTGACCTTCAGGGCCCCTCTCAGTCTGACCCGGCCCTGATTTTCCATTGCCTCCTTTCCTGGGACCCGACCCCCAGGGCCCCCCCACACACACCCACACAGCCTACACCCCCACCACTTCTACCCTGGACCTTAATTTCTTTTGCATCAAATGGGTAATCTCCTCCTTTCCGAGGTCTGGCGTGTGTTTCCCCCTCATCTGAGGAAGGGTTGTCCTGCAGGAAGTGCCTCTCCCTTCTCTCTGTCTCTGCTGCTCTTGAGCTAGTACATGGCTCTCGTAATTTGCCCCAGAGTCAGTATAAATATACAGGCTCCATCTCTCTTCTGCCCATTATTCCTTTCAAGGGTGGGGTCCACGCATTCTTGCTCTTATAGATAAGCAAGCTGAAGCTCCTTCCTTCAAGATTTAGCATAGTGCCTTTTGCAAAGTGCCCTGACTCAGGGATGGCTCAGTGGTAAAGAGCCTGTCTGCAGAGCAGGAGACGTGAGTTCAACCCCTGGGTGGGGAAGATCTGCTGAAGAAGGAAATGGCAACCCATTCCAGTATTCTTGCTTGAAAAATCCCATGGACAGAGGAGCCTGACGGGCTACAGTCCATGGGGTCGCAGAGTTAGACACATCTGCAGCGACTTTGCACACACAATTTATTAGAGTTGGTTCACTTGCAAGGTTGTAAGTTTCCCATACAGGCAGGCTCTCACTGCCCTGAGTACCCAGTGGGTTGCATTTTCATCCTCACAGGAAGAGAAGGGCAGGGGAGAAGATCTTCTTTGTCTTTCTTGAGTAAACGTCATGGTTCCCGCATCAGTTCCTCCCCCAGGTAAGGCAGGGGAGTTTTCTTGTCCCTACATGGTCCAGCCAGGACTGTGATAGCACTTTGGAAAAATATTTTCAGGTCTCAGTACAATAACGGTCTTTCATTTTGAAAAGTCGCCTTTCCATAAATGATTGTTTTTGTGTGTGCACAGAGCATGTTTCAAGGGTCATTAACCTGAAGATACCACTGGGCAAGTTGTAGGCCTTATCCGCTACTATTGTTATATTGTTTGGGGGTCGTTGTGCAAAGAACATGTCTTAGGGGCCAAAGAGCATGTTTTGGGGGTTACTAATTAACTGACTGTGTTGGTTGGACTGTGAAGAAAGCTGAGTGCTGAAAAATTAATGCTTTTGAACTGTGATGTTAGAGAAGACTCTTGAGAGTCCCTTGGACTGCAAGGAGATCCAACCAGTCCATCCTGAAGGAGATCAGTCCTGGGTGTTCATTGGAAGGACTGATGTTGAAGCTGAAACTCCAGTACTTTGGCCACCTCATGCAAAGAGTTGACTCATTGGAAAAGACCCTGATGCTGGGAGGGATTGAGGGCAGGAGAAGAAGGGGACGACAGAGGATGAGATGGCTGGATGGCATCACCAACTCCATGGGCATGAGTTTGAGTAAACTCCGGGAGTTGGTGATGGACAGGGAGGCCTGGCGTGCTGCAATTCATGGGGTCGCAAAGAGTTGGACAAAACTGAGCAACTGAACTGAACTGAACTGAACTGAACTGAATTAACTGAGCTCACTGTGCAGGATGTAGGTCCCATGCCTCCATTGTTTTGTTTGGGGCCTCTCTCGTGCTTCTGTTGCATAGTTTAACTTGCTAAGCAAGTTGTCTTGATTTTATTTTAAGCAAGCCAGCCTGGCTTTGATGCTAAGGGGCTTCTTTTGCTCTGTGAGTGAAGCAAGCCCACAGTGCTTCAGAAACTTCTCATTATTTTCTTGAATGATCATTAGTCTTATTGTGGTCTCTCAAAGACCCCTAAAGTTCCCTCCCTAAAGGGGTTTCTAGGCTAACTATTTGATTATCCTACTGTATCCCTGCCCCATGGACAGAGGAGCCTGGAGGGCTATAGTCCATGGGTCGCAGAGTTGGACACAACTGAGCGTCTGAGCACACACATCGCTACTGTTCCCACAGTAAGCATCATCATCAGGCCCAACATGCACAAACAGGCCCTTTGTACAGATGTCCTGCCTTTCCTTCCAGGCGGTGGTGGTGACTGACGGGGAACGCATTCTGGGCCTGGGAGATCTGGGCTGCTACGGCATGGGCATCCCCGTGGGCAAGCTGGCCCTGTACACGGCGTGTGGAGGCGTCAACCCGCGGCAGTGCCTCCCTGTGCTGCTGGACGTGGGCACCAACAACGAGGTAATGTGCTGCCTGGGCCGGGAGCCTGGGGCTCGGGGGTTTCACCTTTGTGCAGTGGTTCTTCTACACAGCATCAGGCTGTTCTGCACAACAGCTCAATAAACCCCAGAGATGGGGTGCTGAGGCTAGCAATGAGACTATTTATTCGGAGAGCCGTCTGAGAAGATGAGAGACTAATGTCTCAAAATAACCGTCTTACAGGGGCTGGATGCCAGGTTCTTTTATAGATCAGAGATGGGGAAGTGAGGACGCAAAGTAAAAAGGCCATTAATCTTGCAAATATCTCCTAGAATGGCAAGCCTCAGGCAGGGGATGTGTTCATTTCTTCCTTCCAGCTGTCCACAGGTGGACAGGGTGCTGAACAAAGGCACTTTATTTAACAGTCAGGCTGAGGGGCAGGATTCTCTGAAGCCGGTCATTCTATTTTTTTACTTTTTTTTTTTTAATAATAACAAAAGCAAAGGAAAGCAAGTCAAAGAAACAGTTCCAACATGGACTCAGAGTTGGCTTTTCCCTACAAGGGGGCCATTTCTCTCTGGGGTCCTCTTTGCTAGGACACTTGGCCTACACAGCTGTGACTCAAAGACCTCTCTCCATCCTGCTTGCCCACTCCACCCTCCCAGCCCCACTGTCCTCCCCCAGCCTCTTCAGGTCTTTTTGCTCCTGTCCCTCCTGCCAAGGCTTTCTGTGCTCCCTTGTTCTCTGACCGCAGGCAGTTTTCATTACCCTGGTGGCCTCTCTCTCTTATCCATTAATGAAGAAAGCCACTGAGGTGGGAGTGGCTGTTGGGCTGTGTTTTTTCAGCATTTTAGAGGCCAACTACCTCTGTAAAGAACTTTCCCGCTGGCTCAGTGGTAAAGATTATGCCTGCCAACGCAGGAGACTCAGGTTGGGTCCCTGAGTAGGGAAGATCCCTTGGAGAAGGAAATAGTAACCCACTCCAGTATTCTTGCCTGGGAAATCCCATGGACAGAGGAGCCTGGCAGGCCACAGTCCCTGGGGTCACAAAGAGTCGGACACAGCTTAGTGAATAAACAACAACAACCACCTCTGTAAAAGGATTAAAACTCGAAGCAGTGGGACCAAAGGCTGAAATGCCTGGATCAGGCACAGGAGTGTCCTGTAACCCCATGGAGAGAAACTGACCCACACTGTGGCTGGGAGGCCCTGCAGGCTTCTGGGAGGTTTATAGTTTAAGGAGCTCAAACCCCAGCCGGGAGTTTCTCTGCTCTGGGGACCACCACCCTGGGTCACGTTCTTCATGCCATCTGCGATTCACAGCTCTGTGTCTTTGTGTCAGAGAACATGAAAAAACTCCTTCTTAATGACATTTATCTCTGGATTTTAAATCAGTGCATGTCCATCTGAGAAAAATCCAGAGAAGCATTAAAAATAAAATATTAGTCACACAACCAGTAATAATCATTGTTTGCAACTTGGAATATTTCTTTCCAGCCTTACCCCCACCAGATTTAGCTTTTATAAAAGCAAAATTAAATATGTGATGATTTACATGAAACCTCATTTAGCTGATGATTTGCTGTTGAGACTCAGAAATCTGATTTTCTAGAGAAAAGAAAACAAAATTAAGTTTATGTTGCATATACAATTTTGTTCCCTGCTTTTTTAAAGGCAATGTATGTCAGGAGTTTTCTCCCAGGTCACTAGCCATTCTTCCACTATGTCATTTTCATAACTGCCTGCTGTATCACAGTTCACGTAAGAAACTCGCCACTCTTGGACAACTTAGGTTGTTTCTATCTTCTTGCAAATATAATTGTGCTCTCATACCCATTTTTGCAGGTCAGTCTTCCTATCCCTGATGATTTCCCAAGGATAAATTCCTACAAACAGAAATATTGAGGCAAAGGGAATGGTCATTACTTAGATTCTTGATTCATATCGTCAGAAAAGCTTATACTGTTGGTATCCTGTGTGATCTTTCTCAGGAAAGCTTTTCGTAGCTCTTTCCAAGGTCTCCTTCCTCTCTGGACACCACACAACACCCTCATTTCTAAACAAGAATACGCACTGTAACCCCTAGTGAGAAATGATGCTTATTCATGTTTCATCCCCAGATGCAGTCAAGTGAGGGAGAAGCAGCCAGACCTGGCTTCAGGCTGGGAACCTGTGGAGGTGGGAGGGGCTGGGGGAGGACAAGCCAGCAGCCAGAATGCTGGCCTGGGAACACGGGCCCTGATCCCCACCCCTGACGGCCAGAGGAGCCCCTGTATTCCTCTAGACTCCACCCCTGCCAGTGAAACTGGAGCCTGGGCCAGGAGGTTACTGAGTACTCACCCATATCTAAAGCACTTCTCCATATGCCTCCCCGCCAGCCTAGGAGAAGGGAGGCTGGATAGTGGTACACGCCTTATAATTGCTCATCAAGACCAGTCTTTAAGGTCTGCCCCATACTGTGGTTTCCCTTGCCCAACCAGATGCCTGAGTTTTGCTGAAACTGTCCTCAGCCACAAAGAACATGTGTGGAAGCCATGTAAATGTGGATGAGGAGAGCAAACTTTGTGTTATTATTCCCACCCATCACCTCCTGCTATGTTCCAACTGGGTTTAATCGAGACCTTTCCCTCTCTCTGTCTCCTAAAAGCTGTTTCTAGACAAGAAATGGAATGGCTTGAGGTTGATTCTGAGGCCATTGCATCCCTTGGAAGGGTGTGGGCTGACTTTAGCAGGTATCTGACATCCTTTATCGTTAAAGGTCCAACACCCAGCAATGATGTGCGGAAGTTTAGAGTGGGCCTCAACTTGTAACTACCAGGGTCTTCCCTGGTAGCTCAGATGGTAAAGAATCTGCCTGCAATGCAGGAGACCTAGATTCAGTCCCTGGGTCGGGAAGATCCCCTGGAGAAGGGAGTGGCAAGCCACTCCAGTATTCTTGCCTGAAGAACTCCATGGACAGAGGAGCCTGGCGGGCTATAGTCCATGGAGTCGCAAAGAGTTGGACACAACTGAACAACTGCATTACTACAACTTGTAACAAACTCATCAGAAAAGGTGGTGGAAAGTATGAGTAATCTTGGCCCTTTCACAGGCCACCCTGTTTAAGCGTGGCAGTAGCCCTATGGGTGGAGCATCAGTTATTACCCTCTGTTTACAGCTGAGGAAACTGAGGCCCAGAGAGATTAATTTCCCTAAGAAAATCTGCTAGAAATGGCAGAGATCTTGGAGCAGTGAGTGGTCCCAAAGAGAGATCTTAGTTGCCTGCCCAGGAACTGAACCTGGGTAACCTGGATAAAAACCATGAGTCCTAACCACCAGACCACCAGGGGCTAGAGGCTAGAAGCAAAGTTCCCTGGTTCTTTTCCTCATTTGAAAGCAAGAATGTTTCAAGGAGGCAAAAAGCATCATAACAGATATTATTAGAGACACAGCAGAATAGTTTATTAATATTAGATAATATTATTATTATTATTATATTATAATAATAATATTAATATCTAAGATAGAAGCAAGGCAGAAATACACACCTGGAGACAAAGGGAATAGGCATCCTCTCTAATGAGGTGCCCGCCAGGCCGCTCTGTCCATGGGGGAGTCTCCAGGCAAGAACACTGGAGAGGGTTGCCATGTCATCCTCCAGGAGCTCTTCCCCACCCAGGGATCGAACCCGAGTCTCTTGCGGCTCCTGCATTGCAGGTGAATTCTTTCCCACTGAGTCACTGGGCAAGCCGTCTGTTAGAAGGAGGAGTACAGTAAGTCAGAAGACAGGCAGAGATACACCTGGAGAGGGGTGTAGGCATCCTGAATGAGGCACGCATGAGAGAGGTGATTTAAACCACTGACATAGGATGGTCCTTTAAGGCCTTTGTTTACATTTGGCCAATTATTTTGTTTCTTTTTTTCACACTGGACTTGTCCTAGGCCTCTTCCAAGATATGAGTACAAGTTTTGTCAAGAGGGACCCCACCACAGAGGCCTGTGGGGGTATGTCCACACTTATTATGGGCTGGCACCCCCTCCCTTTGGGGCCGCCGAGGAGCCTTCCTACGCATGTGCAGACAGGGAAGTTTTCCTGACCTCAGGAGTGAGCACCTGAGTAGTCACCATCCCTCTTCACTCCAGCAGAGCTCAGCTCCTGCCACTCGATTTGTCCCTGGAGTGTCTGGGTGAGAACAAAGCTTCAGTTTCCCTTCACTTGACAGACCCCAGATGTCCAGCCCAGGGGCCCGTCTACCTCCTCCCTCGGCAGGAGGGGGCCCTGACCACCTGTGTCCTCCTCACCGCGCCGCCTCCCCAGGTTCCAGTCGCTTTATAAGGAGAAAGCACTTCTTGACTTTTAGAATTTGTTTTCCTAAAGTAACTTCGACGCGTTATTCAGAATTCTAAAGGAAGAAGGAAGCGGTCTTTCTCCCGCTGTGCCACGTCTGTGCCCCCACCCCACGTGTCCCTGCGTGTGTGTGTGGATGTAGCTGTTGCCCAGTCATCATCACACCATGCCCCTAATTTTGTTCTGATTTCTTCAATGAGAATTATGTTGTCAGCACTTTCTCTTTACTTTTTTTTTTGAAGTTTATGAAGTGTTTAGTAGGTGTTAGGCACTCTATGAGGCTGCGGGAGATAAAGAGCCAGGCGTGCGTGGACTAGTCTGGCTGTCCGTGTTTCAGCATTGTCACCTAGTGGATCATTTTAATGGCTCAAGTGGTACAGCTACTTAAAGTGTCTGCTTCCCCGCTCCCCTGTGGCTTTTGGCCCCCACATCACCGCTCCCTCCTGGGTGTGGAAGGCAGAGAGCTTCCCCTGTGCCTACTCCCTCCTGTTAGAAAGGACCAGAGGGTTCCCCAGCTGGAGGACCAGGCAACACCACTTGTGTGAGAGAAAGCAGTTCTCACTCAGTCCAGGGAGACCTCAGCCATCACCCACAGTGGGCCAGGCCCTTGTATGATTCAGTCTGTTTCGTTCTCACACCGGCTATTTATGAGAAATTGGTCTCCCCATTTTACAGATGAGGACACTGAGACAAATGTGCTATTTTCCTCAGGCCC